CAAACATTCTTTATTGTGCTTGGCCCTGGCTCGGGAATTGTCAAGTTCAGGCTGTCACCATTTGTTTCGGCGTAGGGTGGCTCTCCTACGACTACAATGGCATATGAGAATCCACCTGACTTGACAAAGTTTGCGTCTGGGTTTTCATTGAAGACTACTTGGGTAGATGAATCAACAGCACTCTTCACAGAAGTCAATATTGTTGTACCTATATATAACAATATAGAGTTAAAAACTATTAAGAATTTTGAAAACAAGTTTTGACTAATGAGAGCTGAAGTTTTAAATGCCCTGATGTTATAGTCTGAGTTGGATGAATACCTCTAGTAAGGTCATTGCCGCTTGCACCTTGCCATTCGATTGTCCATCCACCGCATTGGTAACCCAAGTTATCAGCATGGGTTCCGGCTACAAGTATCTTTGGTGCCTTTTTAGGAAGTGGAAGCAACGGCTTGTGAGCAGATTTGCCGTTCTTCAAAAGAACAAGGGTCTTTCTCACTGCTTCTCGTGCCAAATCCCTGTGCTTCTGCTCGCGAGTAGTAAAAATTATCAGTACAGAAAAAGATAGTATCAAGAAAACACAGGAAAAATCAGAACTGAAAAAAAGTAGAGACCTGACTGCCAACTTCATTGGCAAGACTGTTGTCTGCCATCGGGTTTTCAAACAATCCCATGATGAATTTCACCCTTAGGATCCTCCTGACAGCATCATCAATCCTCTTCATGGAGATTACATTCTTGTTCACCAGTGACTTGAGATCGTCGATAAACTCTGTGTAGTTGTTTGGAACCATCACCTGCATTACATTTTTTCGTTACATCAGAACAACAGCTAGTGACTTCAGACTTGCAGAGCATTTTAAATCAAAATTCATACTGACCATATCAATCCCGGCTTGAACTCCAGCTTGGACAGAGTAAGTATAGTTAGCATGAGGAGGAGTAGTGATCCTGTCAATTCCTTCCCAATCTGATATCACAAATCCCTATTGAAAAATCGACAAAAAAATCAGCACATTGTTTTCCAAACTCTCAAATTTTGGCTAAATACAGTAATGTTTGATCATCAAACTGTGTTTGTTTACCCTGAACTTAAGTTTATTCTTGAGGAAACCAGTGACAAGTTTGCGATTAGCATGCATCTTAACACCGTTCCAGCTGGAGTACGACACCATAACGGTTGCAACACCATGCCTAATGGAGTTAAGGTATGCTGGCATGTGAATGTCAAGAAGTCCCTTGTAAGAGATCACAGTGTTGTTTTCATTGATTCCTTTTGTCGTGCCACCGTCACCCACGAAATGCTTGGCACAACCCGCTACCTTAGTCCTAACAAAAGTAGCAAACAACCATCCATTAATGCCAATAGATCACACAGGGAGATGCTTACAATCCACAACATGCTTGGCAAAACCCGCTACCCTTTTAGTTTTACACTTATTTACTCTGTTTCAAAAGAAATTGCAACACTTGGACTAAAAACGTGAACTTTTTGGGCAAGGTGTAACAATTTTTGGGCATGGTGTAACAATTTTTATGACGAACATTAGTACTTAAGGACATTATGACCAAAATGATTCTAATCCAAAAGTTAAAGCAAATGTTACAATCTTAATATACGATTAGTCTATACTCGATAACAATATCTAATTATAACCATCATAGATTGAGCATTATTAAGTTTCAGATTTGCACAATTTAAATTTCAGTGATCAAGTAAAACCTGTTTATGTGAATTTATAAGATCAACATTCACAACCTTTTAGAATAAACAATATGAGTTTTATGACCAGTGATTCAGTACGAAGACCAAGTACTACAAGCTACAACGTGCTTCAAACTAATAATAAGTTGTTCACACGTTACATGTAACCAAAATAGACTACCATCATACCAGACATGCAATCATGCATTATGCTAATACTTTTTTAATTCCACCACCTAATCACGTGTTAATTACACCGTCCTCCTTGTCATATCTATTAATCAAAGGATTAACGCGTCATCAAATGTCATAATTCACGCCTATTTTAAGGAAAGATCATTTCAAACTTACACATTATGATATGACTTCGTACTATTAGCCTCAATGACTACTTAAATTTATTAACACTTATCAGAACTTATTAAACTCGTAAGGTGAAAAGAAAAGGCCCAAGTAAAGACTATCAATGGTAAAGAATACTTACTTTCCTTTGCTAACATAAGGGAAATCCTTAGGATAGTTGGCAGGAATATCTCCTTGTAAACCAGGAATGATTTCAGTCATCTTTTGTACGATGGTATGGTCTTCACTGTAGCTCTCGTAGCATCGTCCCCATCTCGGATCCCTACACACCGCGATACACGGGGCGAAAGCATAGGGGATCCCGGCTGCTCTAACTTCTACTGCTGTGGCTGCTCCAATCTTCTTAACAAGTTCAGGATCTCTGATGAAGGGCAATTACAAATTCACAATTACAACAAAATTTTTAATCACAAATTTTCTCTACCACATTAATTTAAACTAGTACTAATCATTACAATTTTAATTTGATTTCTTGCAAAATATAAGGCCTAATTGATTAATTAGAGTTGTTTTTGCTAGGAAATTAAAATTTTGGTAAAAAGTATTTATTTTACAAATATAAATATTACTAGTTGGTTATTTATAGTCATTCAACATAACATCTCAATCACATAAATAAAAAAAGGCCTATATACAACAACAAAACAAGCAATAAATAGGATTATTTGTAAGGAGCAATATATAGTACTTGCCTTGTGACACCAAGACCCACATTGTGAGGAAAAATGGTGGCATTGTAGGCATTGTTGTTGCCATGAACAGCATCAATACCATAAATCATCGGTATGCCGAGCCGCGTAGCCATGGCACCCTTCTGGAATTCATTCACCATCTTTACCCACACTTCTGAAGATGCCTTTGGTGCTGGCACACTTCCTCCTCCACTCAACACACTACCTATTCACCCAAAAAAAAAAAAAAAAAATTACGCCTCAATAATGTAGATATGATTCGATCCCAGGACTATTCCCGCAATACTTTAACCAAGTAAACTAATCGACAATTATGTTTATATACCAAAAAAAAAAAAATCATGACTATTGTCTATTGACAAAGAATAATGTGAGCAATATTATGTATAAAACGTAGAAATAACCACGTGAGACTTTAACCAGCTAAACTAATTGACGAATGTAGGATAAAGTTTTAGTGTATATACCAATGAAATAGTTCTTCATAACATCAGCAGAAGCAACTTTGCGTTCAATTTGGGTCATTTGACCAATCTTTTCATCCAATGTCATCCGAGACAAAAGATCTCTGACCCTTTTATTAACTGGAACTTTTGGGTCTTTATATTTCATGTATTCTGCTTCTCCTAAGCTTATCATCATCAATAATACCAGAATTCCCACTTGGGGTATCAACATTTTTCCCATTTTTTTTTTCTCCAATAATATCTGAAATATAAAAAAAACCCCAAACAAATTAGTGATAATAATGTAGAACAAATAAAGCTATAATCTTGAACAAATTGAGCAATTAATCAAAAAAGATTTGAGCTTTACAAGAAAAAATTGATAAAAACAGAGTAAATTTGCTCAAGAACTTACATTTATTTAATTTTTTGGGTATTTCCCAGAAAATTGTTGAAATATATAGAAGATTAAAGAAAAATAGGAAGAAAAATCTGCAATGCAATTGAGGGGAGGTGGGAGAGAGAAACAGGGGTTGGTGGGAAAAATTGGCTGACTATCAGCTGCTTTTTATAAGGAAAAACTGCCCTCAATTTTTACCTAAAATTGGATATTTTTATTTTTTAAAAAAATTATCTAAAAGTAAATATAAATTAGCTTAGTTGTAAATTTGTACTTTAAATATTATCCTTTTATTAGGGGGTGTATTTTAGATTTGGAACGTTGTCGCATGTTAAAAAAAGGACACTAGAACAAAAATAATAAACCTAAGATTCAAATGAAGGTGTACAATAATGTTACCGTTGTGTTTGTGCATGAACGGTCGCATTCCAAAGTTTTGTGCTTTTTTGTGGAAAGTATAAATGAATAATAAGAACCTTCCCTGCACGTAAAGGCTTCCGTGGACGATGGACCGTGGTTCAAGGATTGATTTACATCTAGATGTTTTAGCCGATGTTCTATTTATCTGAATTTTATTTATTTTATTTTACGAAATAGTCACCAAATTAGTTATCTTATCCTAGTCAAGTTGTTAAAAAAAAAACTTATTATAGTCAATCAAGACAATTAGGATTCTTTCAAAAAAATCAAGACAATTAGAAAACTCGGATATTTTCTATAAAAACTTAATTACAATGATGCGGACTATGATTTACTAAGTCAATCCTAATATCCATATGGAAAATATATCACGAACAATATATTTTCCTAATATTAAAGATCTTATCAATTTATTTTTTTAGCAAGATTACTAACCTTAAAATTAATCTTATTAAAATTTAATAGTCCTTGTATACTTACATCATCTTATTTAAACTTATCTTGACTTATTATATTTTATTTTATTCGAACTTATTAAACCTAAAAAAAAGTGTGATTAAAATAGTAGCGCATTAGAAGAAGTGAAATTATTGATGATCGATAACACTTTATGCTTTCCGAAAAAATAATAATGACATATACAAAAAGTAAGGAGTATTTGTATTTGATTACGTGAGTGTAGATCTTAATTTAGAAGTGAGTGGATGGATAAGAGGTGACTAAGGTTTAACCATACATGTCAAAGTAAATTAACAATTTGACACATTCTATAAATGAATGAATACATGACAAGATTACATGTCAACTGATACGTAGTATGTACGAAGTACTTTATACTTGCTATAATGCAATATATCTCATCAATTAGAATTTAGAAGGCATCTTTTGGTTGAATGGTCTTTGGTGAGGTTTTTTTCATGATTAACTAGAGTATTTGTCTCTTGGAGAAATGACATATTTCACGTTAGTCTCTATAAACAGAAGATGTATCATGTATGACATAACACGCGATGTTTCTCTATAAATAGAGGATGTATGACATGTGATACACTGATGAGAATTCAGAAACCAACAAAATGTTGAGATGCCCTTAAACAACATAAATAACCTCAAACTACACATTTTGTACATTACAATTGCAAGCTTTATTAGTAGTGTGCTGCTGATCAATCAACCTCAGCTTCACGTTTTCTTATCTTTCAATTTTTGGTGTATTCCACCTTATCGGCCTCTTAGGAAACACCATAGACGATTAGACGCCCCTCTTTATTTGCATCTTAAGTTCGTTATGATCAAATTGATAGTGTACAGTAGAATTTGATGTGTAGCATAATGGATGTAATTTTATACACGGCTTTATCTTACAGTTACAGATGTTTCACATATAACTGAAGGTTCAGTGTGCAAACCTGCACAAAGGTCATCGCTTATCAGTCACTTTGTTAGCAGGCGAACTACTCAGGTACCTCTCAACAATGTCAAGGCCGCAGAGCTCTTTGACAACAGGCATGGTGGCAGGGACAGGTAATTGGAATAAGGAATCATCAGCACAGCCACTCCAAGAAGCAAGCTGCCTCCTCGCTTCTTTTATGGCTGCTCTAGTTGCACAGTGAACTGATGCTGCTAGAAGCAATGGTGGCTCTCCAGATGCTGCAAGCAAATCAAACAGAAGTAAAGTGACAGTTTTTCTTACGCGATCAAAGTACAGAAGGCACACTGTTGTATAATTATACCTTTAGATGAAAGAACACGATTCTTATGATGTCCACTGTTCAGAATTTCAACATTTAATTGTTTTGGTATGGTATCAATGGTTGGGATCTTATATGTCCATGTGCTATCAGAAACAACCAAACCATCAGGATCAGATAGGTACTCTTCTTGCATGAAAAAGCCGATACCTTGAACAAAAGCCCCTTCTATCTGTAAAAAAATGCCACAAATTGGATGCTTTAACTATCAACTAAAGAAGGGGAGTCAAGTAGGTTCACAACCAATCCAAAATATAAAAAAAAAATCACCCTGGCATCATTAAAAAATAATACATCAGTGCACAAGGTTTAGTCTTCTCACCTTAAGAAAATAGATTTTAGAATTAATTAGTTCATAAGCATTATATTTAAGCAGTACTGTCAGCGGAACGAAGGCTAAATCTTACACTTGGATTAAAAATGTATCATAAGTCATTATATCTTACGCATTATATTGTACGAAGTAAGTAATACTGTAAAAATGCTAATAAAATCAACCTGTCCCAAATCAACAGCAGGATTTAAACTCTGTCCACAGTCATATATGATGTCTGACCGCAAAATAGTAGTTTCTCCCGTGAGGAGATTCACTTCTACCTGTAGAAGGAAAGTAGTATCATAAGAAATAGTACTTGGAAAAATGGAACAAGTAACTCTTGGCTTAATTTCTTATTACTTCTTTTCAGACAGCATGATGCTAGCTTGACTAGGGCCATTGTATAACAATTACTCCATTAATACAACAAATGCATTCAATAAAGGGGAGACTTAAACATGGCTAATCAAACAAGTTTTACCTCACTAACAACAGCTCCGTAATTCAGATATTGCATGGAAGTCATATCGGGTTTGTAAAGGGTGCTAGCCGACAAATTCACTGCTTGTATGCCTGCCTGCAATTAAAAAACTGTTATTCAACACTTTCTACATCAGATAAATAAATTGACTTCACATTTTATTCTAGGTTGGAGAATCCATGTTGCTCATTATCTGATTAGTGTGAAAAACTTATTTACTCCCAAGCAAGATTTAAAAAGTAATAATAATTGCAATTCATCAAAGAAACTTCAATTTATTTTGCGCTGACAGTATACAGTAAAGAAATAAGCAGAGAGACTAGCACACTTTTACTGGAAAATCATATGGCCTAAAGTACATATGCTTAGTCAGCCAGAATAAAAAAGAATAGTTTGTCCCAGTTAATAAGTGTGAACAAGTACTTACCTGAAAAATAAGTGTCTCCCAGTTAATGGAGCCCATTTTTTCTTGTAGGCTCTCCTTGAGAGGGGTTAATCTTTCAACCAAAGTATTACAGCAGATTCTTACAGCTTCACAGCTAGACTCTGAAGTAGTACTTCCTGCAGTAAACCCTCCTTGTACCATGCTCAATGTATCTGCTTGTATTACTCGTACCTTATCCAAAAGCTCATTACTTCCAGTACAGTTGATCATACTCAGACCAAATGCCGCCATCTGTTTTACTTTGGTCCATAGACCTTGACCAAGCTCAATCCCTCCTACTTCCACAGCAATTGACCCATCTCGGAGTATGCTGACTTTACCAGGGGTTGGTCTCAGTGAAACACCATGCACAGCGGGTAACCTGGAAATTCCCTTTTTACGCCAGATATTAGTCTTGTTAAACTGCTTAACCATCTCTTTTCTATGGTTAAAGCTTGAAGATGAAGCTATCTTATCCCAAATTGAACGTAAAGTATATTCACTCGGCTCTCCAGCAGCAGCCTGACAGAACAAAGTTAAGCTATCGAAGGTGTGGAAGTTTTGGTCTCTAACAACATCAACATCTATCGAAAGGGCAGAAGCTACATGTTCAATCACGACTTCAGCTATAAATGTTCCTTGAACTTCACCAGGAGCTCGCATTGCCGATTTACTTGTATGATTAGTCTTGCATAATTTAATATCAAGTGATAAAGCACCCCAATCATACTTCTTAAGTCCATTTACTATGTTTGCTGGCATTATTGGGCTAATATCTTCGGATATACCAGCATTAACCAAAATCTCAAGATGTAAAGCTGTGATCTTCCCATTCAATTTGAATCCCACACTATAAGTTATTTTCATTGGATGTCTTCCTCCAGTTGTTATCATATCAGTCTTGCGATTGAGATACATCCTCACAGGGCGACGAAGCTTGTATGCAGCTAATGCACAAGCTGATGCAACCTATAAGATGTTCAATAATGTGTTGTTAATTAAAAAAAGGTGGAGGTGGAAAACTAGAAGTAATCTACATATATTTCTTAATTGAAAGGCCAGGTTTTCTGCTTTTTCAGAATTGGATTTATAATAACCGAGCATTTCAAAGTGATTTTCTGCATATAATATATATCCAGCTACTGATGATGCAAGACATCATATTTAAGTATCATATGATTTTTCCTATCTCTCATTCAGTAGTATATTATATTCAAGTACAGTCATGCAATGAGCAAGTCTAGGTCAGTATATTCTGATCAGTCATCAAATATGTATTAAAGAGCTTACAGAATAAAATAACCCCCATACATCTGTGGTGGTCAAAGAAGCAAGATATAAACAACTTGAAAGTTGAAACATATATTCAGAGCACATGCTTAATGAAAGGAAAATTTAATCCTGAATAATGAAACCAATAATACTCACAGGCATAGCTTTTATGGCCTTTCCTCCAAAACCGCCTCCAACCCGCCTTGTAAGGACACGGATGTTATTTTCAGGAACCCCAAGACATCTTGCAATCACAGATTGTGTAAATTCTGGAACTTGAGCAGAACTATAAACCACCATGCAGTTATCTTCATCTGGAATAGCCAAGGCAGTTTGAGTCTCCATATAGAAATAGTACTGTGATGGGAGTCTAATCTACAGATACAAGTATACAACCAACATAAAAATCATAAGAATTAGAATTGTTGAAGTCAGAATACCGTCACATTCAGAATTTCAGACAGTAAATCTACTTAAACAAACTTAAGAATACACATAGAATGTGCGAGTGGTACCTTAGCTGAAAGAATTTTCTGATCAGCTTCAGCCATTCCCTTGGCAAAGTCGCCAACTGGTTTAGGGCACAAGAAAGGAGGGATTTCGAAAAAGCTACACCTCTCAACTGCTTGTTCAACTGTCAGAATTGGTGGCTCTAAATTTTCTAAGTCATAGTCAACAACTGCTTTAGTAGCTGCAATGTCTGCATGCCTCTGCGTATCTGCAACCTGTAATGCTCTCAGAACTGAGTATTCCTCGATACTTCAAATCAAAGATAACCAAGGCTGTGAGAAAAAAAGCCACCTAAAAAGGCTTTAAAAGGAAAATCGACTTACAACTAGTGCAATACGTTCACCAGCAGATCTTGTGAGATCATCAGCAAATAATAAATCTTGGCCAAATATTGTTTGGGCTCCTACGTTCTTCCCACCATGTGGGATATCTTTATAGGAAACAATGGAAACAACTCCATCAGGATGTGATTCAGACTCATATCTCACACAATTAACCCTTGCCAATGGCTTTGTGCTATACACAAATGCTCCATGAAGACAGTCTTTTGGAGAAGGAATATCATCAACATATGTTGCCTCGCCTGCAGAAAGTAACTCAAAACGTTTAAGAATATAGCACAAAACTTGCTGATCTAAGTAACATAGCATTATTATTAGGAAATTTTGTCAGATAACACCTTTTATAACCCTTTTGTTGTGAAAAAACACCTTATAAATTTTTTTTTGTTAAAACATACCTAAAACAAGAATTTTTTTGCGAGAACACACCTTAAGGCGGTTTTAGGGGGATTGACTCGGTTTTCCGACGTTGACCATCACGTGAAGGTCATGTGCCGACAACCTTCCTTTCTTTTTCCCCCTTTTTTCTTCAATTACTTTCTCTCTCCTCAAAACCACCAAATCACAACCTAGCCGCCGCCAACACCACCACCGCCTAGCCAACCTTACCGCCAACACCACCACCTACCAAGCTAGCCGCCAACACCTGATCACAAGCCACTTGAGAAAACCCCTTCCTCTCTTTTTTTCCCCTTTCCCCTCTAATTAGACTACTTTCTCTCTCCTCTTTTCTTCCTAGCAACAAACCTTCAAATTCTATCAATTGAATGGGTAAACTCCATTTTTTGCTCAAATTGCTGCAAAGAACCTTAATTAACCTAATTGTGAGGCAGGTAAGTTGTTAAATTTAATAAAATTAATTGTTAATTTCGTCGTTTTTTTATTTACCTTAGTTTAGGGTTTTCAATTGGAGGTATGAAAGGGGGAAAAACCACTACCAACCCTCTTCTCTCTCTATTATTTTGTTTTAGGGTGTTAAGGGTTTTTGTCAAGATATTTGAGGTTGTTTATGAGGTGGTTAAGGGTGTTTATGGAGATGCTTAGGGTTTTTTTTGGGTAGTTTTCATGGTGGATCTTGTGGTTTTGGTGGGTGTTGTATGGTATACGTGGTGGGTTTAGAATGATTTGGGTGGCTGGTGATGGTGGCTAGGTTGGTGGGTGGTGGTGTTAGCGGTCGGGTTAGCTAGGCGGTGGTGTCGGTGTTGGCGGCTGGGTTGGGTAGGTTGTGGTTGGTGGTCTTGAGGAGAGAGAAAATAATTGGAGAAAAAAGGGGGAAAAGAAAGGAAGGTTGTCGGCACGTGACCTTCACGTGATGGTCAACGCCGGAAAACCAAGTCAATTCCCCTAAAACCGCCCTAAGGTGTGTTCTCGCAAAAAAATTCTGGTATTAGGTGTGTTTTAACAAGAAAAATTTTATAAGGTGTTTTTTCACAACAATTTGGTTTTAAAAGGTGTTATTTGACAAAATTTCCTTAGTATTATTATCATTGAAGAGTGATAAAGAGAACATGCTTTATTGAGGCCGAGCACCATGTATAATTCAAGACTATCCTTATTTTATTGTCTGTCCACTTTGAATTAACTCATAAATTTAAATCAATGAAAACAATTTATCCAGATTACTCTCTATACTAACCCTGCAAACTAGATGGGCATTTAGATTCTAGAGCAAATCAACATAGTGTGGATCTATTTTTACATGAAAGCAAATTGGTAAATTAAACTTTAAAGCAGCTAGTATACTAACAGAAAACAAACCAGATGCCTGAAGAGCAGCTCCAGTTTTGCCAATGGGCTTCCCAACAGGATGATATTCTGTACCGGGTACAATTACCTGCTTTGCAGGTAATAATAAAGGTTTCTTATTGTACTCATTCACACTACAGTTTGTTGTAGACTGAGAACTAATGTATTGATCCAAGCCTAAACTTGTAAACCCAAAATTAGGCTCAACCAAACTGTGCAGAAACTCAAAAACAAAGGCCTCAGCTAAGCTTATCCTGTAGGAAGGATGTGAAATGCCATTTTCAGGCACAACAGCAGCCCGAACTAAATTCATTGTTTTGCGGAGGGATTCATGGTCAATATCTCTGCCAGCTAAAAACTCTTCAGCCTTTCTAGCCCGCACTGCATGCCTAGTCCCATAAGCACCAAAAGCCAAGTGAATCTTGTTCACCGTGATGCCATCAGAAGACTTGCTGGGAGAAACTTCAGCCAGGAAAGCAGCGTTTAGATATGCCAATGCATTTCCCAGAGGGCGAGGTGCTGCTCTATAGCTATCAAACATAACTTTACAATTTGATTTTGAGGAAGGTTCCCAAATCGGAATCTTGACACTCACAACTATACTTTTTGAATCTAAAGGTGGCCTTACCAAGAATTCCTCCAATTTTATGGTCTCTCTTTTTGAGCATCTTATAATCTCTACACTAGAATCTACAGCTAGGAGAACAGTAGCAATGTCAGAAGGAAATCCAGACCTCTGTGCCATAACTAAATTTCCACCTATACTTGCTGAGTTTCTGATCGACCCAGAAGCAATTTTCTCAAAATGGGCAGCAATTTTCTTAAGCATTGCTACACTGCCCTCACTCAGTCTATCTTCACCACCTTCATCCAGTGTAACAATAGCCTTAGAGATTGACACAGCTGCCCCAATTTGGACACTTTCAGAATCTCTTTTAACCATAGAGAGCTCAGGAATGTACCTCAAGTCTATGTATGTGTCATAGCCTTCTAGTTCTTTATAATACCCTGTACCTGTATTACTAACAACTAATTTGACACGATTTACGTAGTTGGCCTCACTCAATTCCAGCTTATTTTGGAGTTCCTCAATACTAACAGGGGTATGCCAAGAATATTTTCCCGAATCCAATAACATTCTAAGCTTTAATTCACTCTTCAAAAAATCAGGAAATGTTGATATCTGACAACTGCTATCATAAACAGGTAACCTGCTCACCTTAAGTTCCTTGCCCTCCTCCTTTTGCCAATAAGTATTGAATCCTAGATCTTCAATATCCACATCTCCTGCAAAGCTTTTGCAAGCATCAGCAATAGGCCGGTAACCAGTACACCTACAGAGGTTTCCGGCAATGGCTTTCTCTGCCTCACTAACCTTAAGCTTTGAAAACCCAGGTGGGGATTCTTCCCTGTCACTCTTCTCAGCATTGACAAGAGCCGAGAAAAGAGAAACACACATTCCAGGCGTACAGAAGCCACACTGAGAGGCATGGAATCCAGCAAGTCTTTGGTGTATTGAATGAAAACCTTCCTTTTGACTTCCAAGGCCTTCAGTCGTGGTAATGGAGCAACCATGTATACTAAAAAGCAGCGTAAGGCATGAATTAACTGTATAATCTTCCACCTTATCATGTACAGGATCATATTTGGATAGCAGCACAACACAAGCCCCACAACCACCTGCAATTGTTGACATTGAACAATTATGTCACAATTTTAACTCCAATATATCATCGTACCCTAAGCGAATGACAACACAACTTTTCACAAAGATTCAAAAGATGCACTAAACACAATTACACAACCAAATTCTAGAACTGGTTATCCATTAATAATCTGATTCAAATTCCATTTGACAATCGCTTCAATCCATTCCTTCTACACATGCAAACCATTGTTTTTCCTTCCATCCCCACTAGATTGCTGGGATTGACCCGAAAATGGTCATATGGGGAAATTTCAGTGGGACGGAGGTAGTATCATTTCAATCAAAGTTATGTTCTTTTAGAACACCAAGTGAAGTCTTATATTACAATAATGATACAAAAATTATTCCTCACTTGCCCAAAGCAGAATTTCTAGATATCAATTAATATTTCATCTGAAATTCAACATAAATGCTGCAGAAAGCAAAAAAAAACACCTGAAGTTCAGAGAAAAATAACTCCCAACAACACACACATACTCACTCAATCACACATAATCCTTATCTATAAACAGATCAAACCATAATTAATTCCAACAAAAACCCAATAGAAATTGCATAATATACAAGTCTCAAATTCCATGCAAATAGCACCTACCATAGTAAAATAAATGATAAGAAACAGTAATTCACACCCAATATTAACATCCGATATTGATCAATCTCACACACATGAAAAGCAAACCCGATGATTAAACCCATCGGGTTTCCATATACATAAATTTGAAAGGATATAAAATAGAATTAAGTAAAGCTAACCTTCTCCACACCCAAGCTTGACACTTTTAAAACGAGTTTGAGTTCTCAGAAACTCAAGCAAAGTAGTTGATGGATGAACACTAGTGGGTATCTCAAATCTTTCACCATTAACAGCAAACAACAAATTCCCTCTTTCAATTATCTTCTCCATTTTATTTTTTTTATTATTTTTTTTTTTTGAGCAGCAAATTAAGTTGAGATATCAATCACTTAATCAAGTACACCTGCTCCAACTACAAGTCCTAAATAAATGACAAATATTTTGACTTACGTAACAAGATTTGAAAACATAAATGAATAAATTAAATATTATTAAAATACATTAATTTAACCCATCATCATAATTATGTCATAATCACTGAAATGTATACAAAGAACTTAAAAGGGTGTTATTATTTGAAAATTCAAGAAACAAAAAACATCTTTTTTATTAATAATTTTTCTAAATACAATCTGTAACATAACAGTGAAAGGAGCGGTGGCAGTGGAGAGTTGAAGTATTCTGCATCGTTGTAAGTGTGAGAATCAAAGAAAAAGGGAAGTGTTCTGTTTTTATGTGTGTGTTTTTCTTTTAAGGGCGGTTTCTAAAAGTTATCTAAAATAGGATACGATTGTGGGGACATAGATTACTCAAATTGTGTAACATTACAGTATAACCAGTAATTTCATAATAATATATGCGGGTCGGGTAAATGGGCAAACGGGTCATGTTTGGGTCGGGTCAATTCAGCTAAATTCCATAATGTATGTGGGTCGGGTTTGGGTTGGGTCATGCTTGAGTCAAGTCACGTTGGGTCATACTTTTTATCGGATTTGGGTCAAGTTTAGGTCGGGTTAATAACAGAACGGGTAATATTCGGGTCGGGTGAACAATAGGTCAGGTTTAATTCGAGATTTCACGGGTTAAAACGGGTTAGGGTAATTCTCGGGTTCAAGTCGGGTTTGGTTCAAGTCAATAATTTGCTGGTTAGAATCAGGTCGGGTCATTCTCGGGCTTGAGTCAGGTTCGGTTCAAGTCAATAATTTGCGGATTATAATCAGGTCGGGTCATTTTCAAGTCGGGTCATTCCCAAGTTCAAGTCGAGTTCAGTTCAAGTCAATAATTTGCGGGTTATAATCAGGTTGGGTCATTTCCAAGTAGGGTCATTCTCGGATTCTAGTTGGGTTATGTTTAAGTCAATAATTTGCAGGTTACAATCAAGTCGAATTATTTCCAAGTCAGGTCATATTCGGGTTCAACTAACTATAAATAGATGATTATCATTTTTATCAAGCTAATTATATCCTTTGACTATAAATATATATGGAAATATGCTAGGGAACTATAGTTTATAATTTAGGAAGATAATTATCTCCTTTGGCCATACAACATATATATAGTATATTTAATTCTTAAATTTGTGAATGATGCTCCTTTCTTTTGTTGGCCTAGACCGACTTGGTCCCAATACAAAATGCTTTGATCAATAATAATAAGGTGGTCTAAATTGCATTTAAGGTGATTTGAATTCGGGTCAGGAACAATAAGGGTTGAATTTAGGTCGGGTTAATAACAAGTCGTGCTAATTTTGAGTCGGGTTAGTAACAGATCGGGTTGAATTTTTGGGTTAGGTAAGTAATAGGCATGGTAAAATTCGGGTCAGGTCAATAACAAGTCGGGTTGAATTAAGGTCAGGTCAATAATAAGTCGGGTTGATTTCGGGTCGGGTTTGTAACAATTTGGTTTAAATTCAGGTGGAGTTAAGAATGGGTCGGGTTGAATTCAGGTCAAGTTCGTAACAAGTTGGGTTAAATTCGGGTTTTGATGGGTTAAAACGGGTCTAGGTCTATTTCGGTTCAAGTCGGGTTAGATGCAAGTTAATTAAATTGGTCGTTGTAAACCGGTAAATCGGTGCAAGTTGTAAACCAACAAATTGAAAGTTTAAAAGCAAATTGAATGGTCCCACACACCCAATTGGACTGCCGGAGGATATTAGGGAACATGGTAAACATTTCGGCAATTATTATTTTCGGGCGAAAAAAAGTCAAAAAATTCCAATATTGAAGGCTATTATCCATGCTTTTTGAGAAATTTTGGAGGTTTCAAGGCCCGGTGTTGAAAAGTCTTGAAATTCTATGGGATACACCTCGGAGTCATATAATGTCGTATGGAACCATATATGATCATTATTTGTTGTCATAAATGTTCGTGGAAGGCTTGAATTAATGAAATCGGTGCAAGTTGTAAGCCGGTAAATTGGTCGTTTAAAGGTAAATTGGATAGTTCCACCCACCCAATTGGAATCCAGGAGGATATTAGGAACCATGGTAAACATTTCGGCAATTTTTAGTTCGGGGCGAAAAGAATCAAAAAATTTCATAATTGAAGGCTAATATCCACGCTTTTTGAGAAATTTTGGAGGTTTCGGGTCTTGGTGTCGAAAAGTCTTGAAATTCTTGGGGATATATCTAGGGGTCATATAATACTGTTTAGAACCATATAAGATCATTATTTGTTGCTATAAATGTTCGTGGTAGGTTTGAGTTAATAAAATTGTTGTAGGTTGTAAACCGATAAATTGGTCGTTTAAAGCCAAATTGGATGGTTCGTGGTAAGCACCCATCCAATTGGCATCCCGAAGGTTATTAGGGACCATGGTAAACAATTCCGCAATTTTTATTTTCAGTCGAAAAATAAAAAGTCAAAAAATTCCAAAATTAAAGTCTAAGATCCATGCTTGTTGAGAAATTTTGGAGATTTCGAAGCCCGGAGTCGAAAAGTCTTGAAATTTTAGGATCACATCTCGGGGTCATATAATGCCGTTTGGAGCCATATATGATCACTATATGTTGTCATAAATGTTCGTGGTAAGTTTGAGTTAATGAAATCGGTGCAAGTTGTAAATCGGTATATAGGTCGATTAAAGGAAAATTGGATGGTTCCACCCACACAATTGGACGCCCGGAGGGTATTAAGGACCATGATAAACATTTCGGCAATTTTTATTTATGGGCGAAAAAAAGTCAAAAAATTCAAAAATTGAAGGCTAATATCCACGCTTTTTGAGCAATTTTGGAGTCTTTGGGGCCCGGTCTCTAAAAGTCTCGAAATTCTAGAGAATACGTTTTGGGGTCATATAATGTTGTTTGAAACCATATGTGATCATTATTTGTTTTCAAAAATGTTCATTGTAGGCTTGAGTTAATGAAATTGGTGTAAGTTGTAAATCGGTAAATTGGTCGTTTAAAGGCAAATTGGATGGTTCCAACCATCCAATTGGACTCCCGGAGGGTATTAGGGACAATGGTAAACATTTCGACAATTTTTATTTACGGGCGAAAAAGAGTCAAAAAATTCCAAAATTGAAGGCTAAATATCCACGTTTTTTGAGAAATTTTGGAGGTTTCGAGGCCCGATGTCTAAAAGTCTTGAAATATTAAGGAATATATCTCGGGGTCATATAATGTCGTTTGGAACAATTTATATTCATTATTTGTTGTCATAAATGTACGTGGTAGGCTTGATTTAATGAAATCGTTTCAAGTTGTAAACCGGTAAATTGTTCACTTAAAAGCAAATTGGATGGTTCCACCCATACAATTGGACTCCCTGCGGGTATTAGGGATCATGGTAAACATTTCGGCAATTTTTATTTCCATGCGAAAAAAGTCAAAAAATTCCAAAATTGAAGGCTAATATCCATGCTTTTTAGAAATTTCAAAGATTTCGGGCTCGGTGTCGAAAATAAATGAGATTTTAGGGGATACATCTCGGGGTTATATTATGCCGTTTGGAACCATAAATAATCATTATATCTTGTCATAAATGTTCGTGGTAGGCTTGAGTTAATGAAATCGGTGCAAGTTGTAAACCGGTAAATTAGCCGTTTAAAGGCAAATTGGATGTTTCCACCCACACAATTGGACTCTCGAAAGGTTTAGGACCATGGTAAACATTTCGAAAATTTTTATTTCCAGGCAAAAAAAGTCAACAACTTCAAAAATTAAAGGCTTTTTGAGAAATTTTTGAGGTTTCGGGGACAGGTGTCGAAAGGGCTTGAGATTTTAGGAGATACATCTCGGGGTCATATAATGTTGTTTGGAACCATATATGATCATTATATGTTGTCATAAATGTTCGTGGTAGACTTGAATAACTGAAATTGGTTCAAGTTGTAAATCGGTTAATTGGTCGTTTAAAGATAAATTAGATGTTTCTACTCACCCAATTTGACTCCCAAAGGATATTAGGTAACATGGTAAACATTTCGGCAATTTTTATTTTCGGGCGAAAAAAGTTAAAAAATTCCAAAATTAAAGGCTAATATCCACGCTTTTTAAAATTTTTTGGAGGTTTCAGGGCCTGGTGTCGAAAAGGTTTGAGATTTTAGGGGATATATCTAGGAGTCATATAACCCCGTTTGGAACCATATATGATAATTATATGTTGTCATTAATGTTCGTGGTAGGCTTGAGTTAATGTAATCAGTGCAAGTTGTAAACCGGTAAATTGGATGTTTAAAGACAAATTTGTTGGTTCCACCCACCCAATTGGACTCCCGGAGGGTATTAGGGACCATGGTAAGCATTTCGGCAATTTTTATATCCGGGCAAAAAAAAGTAAAACAATTCCAAAATTGAAGGCTAATATCCACACTTTTTGAGAAATTTTGGAGGTTTCGGGGCCTGATGTCGAAAAGTCTTGAAATTCTAGGGGATATATCTCTGGGCCATATAATGTCTTTTGGAACCATATATGATCATTATTGGTGTAGGTTGTAAACCGGTAAATTGGTCGTTTAAACCCAAATTGGATGGTTCCATCCACCCAATTGGACTCCCGGCAGGTATTAGGGACAATGGTAAACATTTCGGCAATTTTTATTCTGAGCGAAAAAAGTCAAAAAATTTCAAAATTAAAATCCACCCTTTTTAAGAATTTTGGAATGATTCGAAGCCCGGTGTCCAAAAGTTTTGAGATTTTCAGGTAGAACTGTCAATTTGGGTAAACAGGTCGGGTTTGGGTCAATAAGAGTGGGTCGGATCAATTCGGATTAATTCCATAACCTATGCGGGTCGGGTTTGGGTTGAGTTAGGTCACGTCGGGTCATACTTCTTATCGGGTTTGGGTCGGTTAATAACAGGTCGGGTTACATTCGGGTCGGGTGAACAATAATCCGGGTTTAATTCGAGTTTTCACCGGTTTGGGTAATTCTCGGGTTCGAGTCGGGTTTGGTTCAAGTCAATAATTTGCTGGTTAGAATTAGGTCGGGTCATTCTCGGGCTTGAGTCAGGTTCGGTTCAAGTCAATAATTTGCGGATTATAGTCAGGTCGGGTCATTTTCAAGTCGGGTCATTCTCATGTTCAAGTCGAGTTCGGTTCAAGTCAATAATTTGCGGGTTATAATCGGGTTTGGTCATTTCCATGTCGGGTCATTCTCGGAGTCTAGTCGGGTTATGTTCAAGTTAATACTTTGCAGGTTACAATCAGGTGGCCTGGGGTCATTTCTAAGACAGGTCATTTTCGAGTTCAACTAACTATAAATAGATAATTATTATTTTTAT